CGATGTATGTTCTCGAAATCTAAGGCCACTTCCCCATTTCAGTATAACGCCCCCGTACTCTGATCCATTCGTCACGATGCAGAAACCGCAGGGATCGTCATGGCGCTGTAGCCAACAGATGTGGCCACTACCTACAGTCTGAGAGATACTAATGGTGCATTTGATGAATAGTGCGCGTTTGGCGGTGGGGGTGGGGGAGGGTCTCTGGCAGCCCACACCGGCCCACACTGCTGGTAGGCAAAGTGGTGGAGCTAACAATTACGTTTGTTTCCTAAAACTGTCATTGTACGGTTGAACAAGACCGAGTTGTGTCGGTATAACTGTTGTATCTGCTGAGGAGATAAGAGTAATTTATTAATTCTGGAAGACCATAATTGTATCATACTAACCAGTAAATTTCGGAGAGTTTCATGAACGTAGGCCTAGGCCCACTGGGGCTATAGTGCCAAGGAAAAAAAACAGTATATTTGCTTCGAGATATTGGCATATGTTATATAGGCAGAATCATAATGGTATAATCATGAAATCATATTTGCAGGAAGTTCATCAAGAAAAATAGCTTACAGACGATACCTGGAGTTCAGTTCTCTGAAGTTGCATTTTGGTTACTATATAGTGGTCGAAATTGGCGAAAAGCGGATGAAGTCATGTGTTTCAGCAATGAAATCGGAAGAAGAGATCATGTAGATCAGATCGTGAGATATATGTGTTTGTGTTTATGTGCATGCGTGTGTCTATGTATGTGTGCGTATGTGTGTCTATATGTTAATGTCTGTGAGTCTGTGTATATGTGTGCACCCCCTCGTTGGTGTCGCCACCTTATCGTGGTGAGGGGGTTTGAGTATGCCAAGGACCCTGAGAGCTATGCCAGCGGTAGCGTAGCTACTGGCAGGGCCTCCCTTGCTGGACAGGTCAAAGGGTAGGCATCAGACGAAGAGGGACACCAAAAACCAAAAACTGATGCCGGAAGCAGCGTCATCAGCAGCGACTTGAAGCACAGAGCAAATGATGCTCGAGACGGTTCAAGTTCGTATAGCAACAGGCGTGACCAGAGTGGTTAGAACGGCTGTTGTACTGCGATGTGGAAAGAAAATGGAAAAAGTACCACATTTTCACTTTTCCTGGATAGTCTCTTTCCAAAAGCAGAGATACCATGTTTGCGAGATGTGTCCTCTGGAGACAAAACAAACCGGAGGGGCGGATAGAAGTGACCAGAAAATGAGGAAGAAGATACTGGATGACTTTGGGGATAGAAGAGGATATTTTTATTTGAAGGAGAAAACTTGTGACCACATTAAATGGAGGAACTGTTTTGGAAGAGACTGTGGACCTGTCGTCTGACAGATTACTGATGAATGAATATGTGTGCGTGTGTGTATGCATGTGCGTGTCTGTGAGTGTGTGTGTGTATGCACGTGCGTGCGTGTACTACTTTGCGTTGTGCAGACCAGTATCTTAAGTAATGCAATGAAACACAGCTCATTTGAAATTGTATATCGCCTGTGGTAAGCATACTTTCTGTGTTGTTTCCTCTGCAGGACACTGAAAACCCGTTTCATGATTCACAGTTACGAGATGCAATTTGCAGTTCGTTCTAAATACTAGAAAACTGGGGGATATGCGCATAGCATAATTCTGGCTCAATCTTCCTCTTTTTTATAATTATTTCGAGAACCTTATTTCTTACTTAGACATTTTTTTAGAATTTACAATATGTGTTTAAATCTTCTCTACAACATTGTTCNTCCTCCGAAACGTCGGTTAACACCACATATACACGGTGCAAAATCCCAGAAGACTGCTTTCTTCATTGTTCGAAACCTTTGTCTCTTCCGTAAACATTTAGGGGAGTCCATTCCAGACCCAAGCAGGAAGCCCTACATGTCTTCATTTAAACCGTCCGTTATTAGTTAATTTTCACAAAAATCGCAATATGTCAACAATTTTTTGTAGAATTCAACAATGTGAAATTCAGTGGAGATTCATTCAGCTGTTCCTAAGCTCCTACACATTTGGAAGAGAGAGACGACAAAGCTGATATGCACATTTTAATTACGTTTCGTTTTCAGCACGCCAGAAACTTATGCCTAACTGGTGTCAAGTTGCCTGGTACGTCAAGCTGACTATAGCTGGCCCCTCTCTGTCTAATTGCGGCGCCTTTACGTGATGCAGGCGTCCGAATGGAGCGCGATGCCACGGCCCTCGCTTCCACACGAGTGGATCAGGGAATGATCGCGCGCTGTGGTACAAATGCCAGCCAGTTAATTATCTCCATAGATGCGCTTAACCACACAGCTTACCCGCTGTGTTTATTGTACGCTATAAAATAATATACCCCTGGAGTGTCGCGTACTGAAGTGTGAACTCGTATTAATCATATGATTCATGCCATTCGCTTCATAAACGTTCAATCTAATTCACTTTAAAAATGACGGCATTGCTCTCATTTACGTTACGCGAATACAAAGCCGCAAGAACACGGGATACAGTGTCCTAAGTCATGTTACGCAGGACAGTCAACTGAAGTTACGCAAGACACTCTGTATGCTTCTCTCTTTTGGAAGAAAAATGTAATCGTTTTGACATATTACATACATCTACTGCCGATCACAGTGGCACGAACGCTCCCACTCAAGGCATGATGTTTGTGTGTGCGTTTGTTCTGTGTTTGTATTGTCCTGTGTGTAGGTAGGAGCCTTGCGACGGGCTGATCACTGGCCCAAGGAGTCCTACCGACCGTGTAAGAATGACTACGAAACTGAAGAAGAGGCCAGGGCCCAACAAAGAGCTGTAGAGCCATTGATGAATGAATGGAAAAGCAATTAACAGGGATGTGGAAGGAAGTGGCAGTGCTCTTATTTGAATTACTATCCCAGACATTATAAGGGGACTGAGGAAAACGACGAAGATCCTGGGTCCGTCTAGTCGTCTCGAGCGATATTGGAATGGGGCTCCTCAAGAACACAAGACAGAAACTAGATAGAAGGTTGATATGAAAATTCATCTTTGGTAAATTTTCGGATTAATCAATGACAGAAGTTGTGATCGAGTTCTGGAATTAAATGTTAGATCTTCTGGGATGTAGTGCCGTGTAGTTGTGAACACTGCAGTCTTAATTTTCACTACCCTCAGTACTGAAATCTGTGAAACATTTATATACTAACCGCTAGAGAAGACATGACAAATTATCATTCACGGCTTTGATGTCAATTCGTGCCGCTGCTATTGGTTAGAAATAAACATGAAAATACGATAAAATATGAAGATGTGTGTGCGTTATTATATTGTGTTATGTTATAATATTTTTGTTGTTATGCTTTGTCATTTTGCGTTGTACGAGTATTTTAGTTGGTAGAGTTTTTTGGTGATATCTCTTAATCACAATCAATTACAACAGCCAACAATAACTGACTGCCTAAGACTTAATCACAACAGCTCACAATAACTGACTGCCTAAGACTTAATCACAACAACAACACCTTACAATAACTGAGTGCCTAAGACTTAATCACAACATCTCACAATAACTGACTGCCTAAGACTTAATCACAACAACAACAGCTCACAATAACTGAGTACCTAAGACTTAGTCACAGCAACAACAGCTCACAATAACTGAGTGCCTAAGACTTAATCACAGCAACAACAGCTCACAATAACTGAGTGCATAAGACTTAATCACAACAACAACAACAACAGCTCTCAATAACTGACTGCCTAAGACTTAATCACAACAACAACAGCTCACAATAACTGAGTGCCTAAGACTTAATCACAGCAACAACGGCACACAATAACCGACTGCCTAAGACTTAATCACAACAACAACAACAGCTCACAATAACTGACTGCATAAGACTTAATCACAACAACAACAGCTCACAATAACTGACTGCCTAAGACTTGCTCCATTCTGGCCGAACTACTACTGTCTTATATAAGATTTGAGGTTTTCACGGCGGTGACTATGAAGAAAACAGTCTTCTGGGATGTGGCACCGTGTAGATGTGGTGTTAATCGACGTTTCGGAGGAACATCTACTACTGTCTTCTCTTCTAGTCTTTCTTCTACCGTGACTGACTTGGTTCAGAGTTACAAATGACTGCGTTCTGATCTGAACGGCCGCTTGTATAGCCTAGCGGTATCCTAGGAAAATGTCTGTTGCTCGCCCGTGTCCATGGACACGTTTGTTGCTTCCGCGTCAACGGTCTGGTTTCCAAGAGTGTACAACTTTCTTTGCATATCCATGGACACGTCTGTTTAACACCCAGCCATGGTTTGTGTCCAAGTCTTATCTTTGCGGACACGCGTTTGCCAATTCGTTCCCTAGAAACGGCCTACATGTCAGAAGATGATTTGATACCATAATGTCTGTGGTAGTGAAATCCTAGGATTCAACACAACTAACACCAAAGCTGGATGCAATTCTGAACCAGTTTAATGTAGCCGATATCCTCATTCGGTTTCTACAAGATTCATCTCGGTGTTCCCCTCATTTTAACCCTTATCTGTGTTATCGTAAATGCACTGAAAATTGGAGTTCTGTCTTCTGGGATTTAACGCCGTATAGTCCGTTGGAAATAAGGCTACGTTTCGGAGGAACGCGTCGACTTCATCTTCAGGTTTAAAGAGTAAGCCAAGCATGAGAGAAACAGCCGGCTCTGCATCATGCTAGTTTCTTGCTTCACATATTCTTCAATCCTGAAGATGGAGGCGAATTTTTCCTCCGAAATATCACTTGAATTTTGCAACGTATTACACGGCGTTATATCAAAGACGACAGAACTGTTCCTAGCCACCGCTGTGAAAACCTAAAAAGAAAGTAAGTTGGTCGTACGTTTCTCGCTTATGGCCTTGTAAACTTATTTAGAGTAAGCTCTGTAACAGGAAAGTACGTAGGCAAGAGGAGAGTGCAGTTTTCCTCTCGTGAGCTGTGCAGCAAATTGACAGGTGTGATGTTGGGCCCATATACTGAGCATGTGGCTGTGTTTGTGTTTCAGGTCGTGGAGAAGGACAAAGCTGCGGGGGGAGATAGCAGTAAACTTGGCGGTTGTGAGAAGCGGAAGGCCGAAGATGGGGAGCCTAACAAGGATCTTAAAAAGGTGGGTGCTAAAGCTTTATTGAGTTGCAACGAAATTTACCTTCAGTACTCATAAAGGTAAAAGCAGATGAAGTGGGCCCTACAGTGGAGGTACACCTTAAGGTTGTACCAATTCACCTCCGGTAAAAGGGCCCAATTACAATTTGAATGGAACCTGGGTGTACTTCAGAGCTCTTCCTGGTGTGGTAAAATGGCGAAGCTATCCCTGTAACAGGCCGTGAAGGCTCATAGAGTTGTGAGACGTAGAGGCTCCCACATTTTTCTAAGACAGTCGGCTCATAGATGGCGGTGAGGTTGTCAGCCTTATGCTCCGGCCGCCCTTTACCCTCAGAAATATTTTTGGTACTCATTTCTGTTAGAGGCTGTGTCGACCCCAGGGTCATAGTGCGGTTGGAAGGATTAGGTAAATTGAAAAAAAAAAATCCAATGACTTCATTGGGAATCGAACCCGCGATCTTCCGGCTTGTACACTAGTGCCTCATTACATTTTGGTCCATAACGGCTCACTGCAGCTCATTGCGTTGCAGTTGCCTGTTGTTTGAGGAAAATTGCATATACATTAATGGATTGTTTCTCATAAATTGCATATATACTAATGCATATTCAATGCAAAATGAGCAATGCCGGCATAATCACAGTACAGTGAATTAGTCATGACCACGCACCTTAGAGGTTGTCAGCCGCTGTCTTAGTTGAGGTTTAATTCGAGCTTTGATGATGTCTGAAATCGACTCAACGCACAGGAAGCTTTCAGTTGCAACAAATTGTGTTTCTGAATCCGATCCATATGAAACGAAGGAAAAGAACAGTTGCACGTATATGCCACTTACCAGTTGCAGAATCACTGCTTCACGTCAGCTGTATCGGTTCTAGAAGGTTTGGCTTGTAAAAGACACACGAAGAACATAAGGGTGGATGGATGATATTGTGCAATCTAAGTGTGGTGTATTCCATTTGCATAGTAATCCCGTATCTTCAAATGTTTCCATAAAAATCATATGAACACGTATGCTTTATGTCAGATTAAGTTTTCGTACTCGTGTGATTTGACACCGTTACTATTCTGCCAATTGCCCTGTGTTCACAGATCCTAACACAGTACTGAACGACTCTTAACACCGTGTTGACAGTTTCTAACACTGTGCTAACAGACTGACACTGTACTGAGCGACTCTTAACACTGTGTTCACGAAGTAACACTGTACTGAGCGACTCTTAACACTGTGTTCACAAACTAACATTTTACTGACCGACTCTTAACACTGTGTTGACACCTTCTAACACTGTACTGACAGACTCTTTAACACTGCCGACACATTGTAACACTTTATTGATAGTACAATGTGTGAAGTATGTATGAAGAATGCTTTCATTATATCTCAGTTCCTGAACACTTAATTAAGGCACTGGTATTTTTCGCAGGTAGTACACTGACGTGTCTAGTAGGTCACGAAACTCATAACGGTCCTGGCTGCTAATCGTCTTTCTAATTACACGCTTATTTTCACGCATTAATTAATGTTGAGTGGGCCGTTGGTGTACGTAATTGAATTCTGCTACGAATAAGGCTGCAGGCTAGTAACAAGTAAATGAGATGATCTTATTGTTGGCGCGTGATCAGCAGCCCAGAGAGAACTTGTACTCCAGCCTGGGGTACAGTGACATCCCGGAAGTGCTCTTCGTTAATTAGTGACGCTCAGGCCTCGTGTTTATGCCGATCACAGTGGCAGTACGGTCTAAGGCATGATCTGTGTTCACCCGCTCGAAGACTGGGATCGTGGGTTCGAATCCCACTCAAGGCATGCATGTCTATTTGCGTTTATTCTGTGTTTGTGTCGTTTTCTGTGTGTAGGTAGAGGCCTTGCGACGGACTGATCCCACGTCCTGGAGTCACACCGACTGTGTATACGATTAAGAAACTGAAAAAGCGGCCAAGTTCCAACAAATGACTTTAGAGTCATAGATTTTTTATTTTATTTTCTTTATTCCTAGTGGGGTGGCACTAAGTCGCTTGTACTGCGGCCACTTCTGCCCTATTGTACCATCCCCAGATGATAGGTGAGGGTGATTGTGGAGCAATTGGTAGAATGAAGATTTGGCAGGGGAAACCGAAGTACTCGGCGAAAACCTTCCCCAGCGCCACTTTGTCCACCACAAACCCCACGTGACCAGACCCGGTATCGAAGCCGGACCGCCGCGATGGGAAGCCAGCGACTAACCGCTTGAGCTATGGCGCGGCGATTAGAGTCATAGATAGACAGGTAGACCTCGTGTTGATAGCGCTAATCAACGGTGTATAATCTGGGCAGTGATTTTCATGGCGCTGCCCTTCTCGCTGTACCTTAAACCCGGCGAGACCTGTTAACTCTTCTAGAGAGCACCAGATGTTGAGCTCTGAAAACATTCGTGCAAGTATGGGTGGGTCCTTCCTCCGCTGCTTTGTAAGGTCGCACGTCTTCGGATCTGCCACATTCCCTTGACACAAGAATGTGAGTGGCGTCAGTTTGTACGTTGTCCTGTGAGGAACATCTTACTGCACCGCACTGTCTTCACAGTTCCGATTTCTGTGTGCTCCACACCCGCGGCGCGTTGCGTTGCATCTTCTGGAAGCGATTGTCGTAGTGTGTCAAATGTTTTTGCATTCTTTTACTGTATTGCCCTCTCTGTGTCTATTTAACGAACTGATGTTTTGTAGCATTTTGAATTACTATCAGCTGTACCCTCGTTCCCAACTTTTTACAGCCTGAATTCGTTTTTATGGCTTCGTTAAACTGTTGTGCATATAATGCATTTGTAGCTTCTGATTTTATCGTGTGACCCATTTGCAGTGATATATATATATATATATATATTCTATCGTCTAACCCATTTACAGCAACACGTATCAATTTCGCACTTGTCGTGTCGTGGGTTTTAATTTCTTTTTTCTTTTTTTATGCAGTGGCACATGCGCTCAAGGCTAATGCTACTGTACACACACCTGCGTCGGACCCAGAAACCCGAACAGTGGTCATATTTGGTAGAGGTCATCCGATCCTTCCCTTTCCCTCGTGTTTCTTTGTCTTTTGAGCCTTCCATCGGCGAATTGATGCATTTTTTTAATTAAAGGCTCTACGGTGATGTTTTATTTATTGACACGAACACTACTTTTTTTTTCCTTGGCACTACAGCCCAAGTGGGCCTAGGCCTACCTCCATGAACTTCTCCGTTCACTTCGGTTTGAACACTACTTATATCATTAAATTTTCCATTTGTTGTAAGTTTTTTTAGGGATACCTTTTGCTTCACTAATCCAGATTAGCGTGGGTTTACTTCTATAACGCAACGAGATGATTTATATGATGCGATTTTGTGTGCTGGTTACGTTAACAAACTGCTTCTAAGTATTTCAGTAATACAGAGTTCGGATAAAAAGTAGTGGCTACACCTCTATAGTTCTGAAATGACTTAATTATCTGAAGTAAACACACTTACATTCCTTCGATATAATCGCTCCCCCCCCCCATTTATACCACAGTCTGCCAAATCTGTGGAAGGCGTCGTACACCATCAGCGCGTCCACTTCTGTTGATGTTCAGCAATGACCGCCCTACAGCTCGAATAATCTCCTCTCTTGTGTTGTAACGTGTCCCTCGTAGTGGTTCTTTCATTTTGGCAAAGAGATCATAATCGCACGGACTCATATCGGTTGAGTATGGCGGATGTTGCAGTATCTCCCATTGCCAGCGGCGAAGGAGATCTTTGACAGCATCAGCTGTATGAGTCCTTGCATTGTCATGAAGGATGATGGGGTTCGTTGCCAACAAGTGTCGTCCCTTTCTCCTGAGCGCTGGACTAGGGTGATTACGCAGGAAATTGCAATAGTAGGCAGCGTTTACTGTCTGTCGTTGAGGTACAGTGTGGTGCGGTATCACTGCATCAATGTCATATGCCACAATGAAGGACGCCTTCACATTACTCTGTGTAGGGCGCACTTTCTTTGGACGAGGAGAGCCAGGATGCTTCCATTCATTTGATTGTCGATTCGAACTTCATGGAAAGTACACGTTACCGTGTACTGATACGGAGGACCAAACAGCTTTCTCGGAAACTTCTTGTGTTGTTCCCCACGCCAAACCCTGTCTAGATCCTCTAATCCTTTGCAGGATCAATTCATCTAGATAAAGTATGTGGCATTTGAGATTGTCAGATCGTTGATCATAACGTGAACAATCTCCTGGGTTGCTGGTTTCTTCCTTGGTTTACTAGTCGTCCCTGAAGATGGAGGGATATTTCACTCGAAACGTAAACTTCTACCGAACTGCATGGCGTTACAACCCATAAGATAAAACGCTTCATAATAACCGGTGTGAAAACCTCAAATACTACAATATTAATCGGTAATTAATTAGAAATTCAGTTCACTGTATGGGTTCTATTCATTCTGAAAATAGAAAAGTACATTAGATTTTGCCCCCCTTTTTCGGCAAGTTGTAGGTTCAGGATTACTGGGCTTTTGGACTTTTTCCATCATCCGGAATTCTAGGTACTATAGGACACTCTAGGTAATAGAGGACGCGACGTTTCGGAAACTGGATATTTCCCTCTTCAGGTGAGAAAGGAAGACACCTACTCAGTTGGGCCTCTTAGAAAGAGCTAATCTCAATCACTGGACCTTTCTAAGGGGCCCAACTGAGTAAGTGTCCTCTATTACCTGAAATTCCGGACGATGGAAAAAGTCCAAAAACGCATTAATTCTGTGTGTCATCCACCATCGTCAGAACCCTTTAGAAGAGGCTGTACAAACCTCTGGTACAAGCGGTTCCGCGTACAGAAAAAAATGAGTAACTTCGGCAATTTTTAAAAAAGTACTTGCAGTGCGTATTAGCAGGTAAAATTTTGACGGTGGATTTTGTTGTGTGTACTCTTGCAGTGAAAAAAAAAAATCAGGGCAGGTTTCGACATGTCGGATCGGACCATTCCCATGTAAGTTGTACGTATGTTATAGGCGTGAAATAGTTG